AAAAAAAGGGGAAAAATCCTATAACCTTCTACTCTTAAATTCTCAAGCTTTGGAGAAAGATAAAATTATTGAATTATAAATCTACTCCCCAAATCTAAATCTTCTTCACCTAAAAACAAATGATAAATTTAAAAACATCACTAATCAAACTCAATACAAATATTAATTACAAAAAACATAATGGTCCCACAATGTCCCCACTTATGGTAAATATATGCACATACAATTATCAAGACACTAAATTCTCATATGATAGATCTCACAAAATAAAAAGTAAAACCCTTTCGAAAAGCACCAACTTCCAAACAAAATACAACATGTAAAAGATGACAACTTATTACGAATCAGATAGTTAGTTATAGTTTTTTAAATGTACCACATCCTCCCAAAATTTAGTTTTGAACCTCCTAAAGAATTGATTGGAAGGCCTATCGAGAAATGCCTAAAATTATGAGAAATTCCTAATTGAGAGATTTGACAAAATTCCTTAAAATCCTTAGGATATTTAGCCAAAATTTTAGGGATTTAGATTACAATTGGGTTTCACTTTTACCCTTTAGTTCTTGCTAATGAGTGCCATGTTATGAGTAATGCCAAATGAGATCTTATGTGGCATTTAACCTGGCCACTTAATGACCCATTTAACATTTTCCATTAATATTAACCGTGAGTGACTAACACTTGGAGAACTTAAAAAGTCAGGTGACCATATTGTTAGGGTTATAAGTTGAGTGACAAAAACATTGATTTTAACAAATTGGGTGACCACCCATGAGATTCACCTCAACTTTTTCTTTCTCAAATATCGTTATTCACTTAGAAGATTTGATCATATAAATCGTGTAGAATGTTGGCCGGAGTAGAAATATTCAAATTGAGACAACTAATAAAAGCAAACGTTGTTGTGTATGCTTTAAGGCTTTTGCATTAACTACTAGAGGAGTGTAACTAAGTGTTTTAACTTTTAATTTTCATGTCTTTTTATTAATCTAAAAATATATAAAATATTAATTAAAATAAATATTAAATATATTATATATATTTTTAAAATATTAAAAGACCAAAAAATTAACTGTTACAATTACATGTCATCACTCCTAAACTAGATTTAAATGAGACTAACTATGAACTTAATAAATGAACAATGAGCTAGCAACAAATACGCTGCTTGTTAATTATTTCTCGTCATACATTATATAATTTCAAGAAAAAAAAAAAAACAGATGAGTCTTTGTCGAATAAATAAATAAATAAAAAATAAAGATGAGTCTACAATAGAAGAAAAAGCCTAGATTCTTTGGTTGCCATGAGAGGAGGGAGAAGGCAAGGTGTGGAAGTGTCTGAAAAATGATGTTACTTTTCAACGTTTTGTTATCATCATAATCAAATAGAGTACAACAGGATGCATCTCTTTTCCTAATTACCAAATAATTGTCTAGATTTGACAACAATTGTTGCTACAAGAAATAATTCCACTGGTCTTATAAACCATATACAACATGAAATATACTGCAAGTTCAAGGTTATAGTAATAATCACGAGAAATCTGACAAATATTGGCAACAAGTCATCTAATAGTCCGAGCATAAATATCATTCAGCCAAAACACAATTGTCCAAGTTTGGCAACGCAGCTTCGTCTCGTTTCTTTGTGGAGACACCCAAACTCATTCCAACAGAAACTAGAGTCTCAAGTGATCTGCAACTATTTTCTAGGAGATCCTCATCTATCTGAATTGCATCCTGCAAGATAAACAGCCACAAAAAAAAAAAAAAAAGGCTATAATTTGATGTTTCATGTGCATGTATCTGCTGGCATAGGAATCTCCTACTGCTAGAAGATGAGAACAAAACAAGGTAGGCAAACAAGAAATGTAATAAAATCAAGATATGAATTTCATACTTTGCATAAAACTATACAATAACATGCCCTCTGTTCCTATTTATTTGTCAATATAATTGACTCTCAACTAACATGTAATTTTAAGTAATGCTTTTTATAAAACATATGAATGACAATTGAATTTTTTCTTTGATTAAAAAAAACTACTTGATAAGAATAACAAAGAAAAAAAAAAAAGAATTGTTTTTCATATGCTATATTTTTGTACCTAAAGTTATATGTATTTAGCTAAGAATTGTATAGGCAGAGAAATGGGAACGGAGATATTAGGGTTATCTGAAAAAATTGAAATGTCATTCAAGAATGCTTAATAGAACTGTAATGGGGTAAACCTCTTCTATTAAGAAAAGATCTTTCCTTTATAGTTTTGTCAACTCGTATCTCTGTAAAGCCATCTCCTTTAACTTTTACCCAATTCCCAGTAAAACATAGTCCAGACGTCACACAAAAATTTCATCTATTCAGTCTGCTTAAAGATCAAAACTTTCCAGAAAGCATTTATAATTAGAAAATGTGCAGATTGATAACGTAATTTGTGCTTAACAACCATTTTGCACCAGGAGAAAATATTAATATGAAAACTCTAGGATGCCATCCATTTCAGAGCAAAAAAATTTAAAATCTCAACCAGTTGTATATTTATGCTCCAGAATAGATTGGTATTTTCAGGGTGAAACAAGTATAAAAGACAAAAGGATGGTTGCTAAGAGGCAGACCAAACCTTCATTTAATTGGACGAAAATCATTTTCTTTCTTTTCCACTAATTTTCCTGAATCCAAACATGGTGTAAAGAGCAGATAAAAGAAATATGACTCATTATCAAGTGGTCCATTAAATACCAACCTTTTCAAAGATGCAAATTACTGTGCTTCCACCAAAGGAGAAATAACCAAACTGTGTGCATCAAACAAACATAATGCTAATTAAAATGAGAGAAAATAGACATTTGCACAAGCAAAAACAGAAAGATAGCTAATATGATAAAGGAATGCTAACCTCATCTCCCTTTCTCACATTGTCACCCTCCTTCTTTAGGAATGTAATGCTACCAACCATAGTAGCTCCAATTGCAATAAATGCTATCTGCAGCAAAGATGTGAAAGAGGAAAATATAAAGACATCTCTTTGTTGATAAAAAAGGAAAAAAGAATGTGTACGCCAGTTATTTGGAAGAAGAAATATGCAAAAGAACACTATAACCAAAAAAGTACTTAAATACTACAGTAGCTTTTACCGAAGCCAAAAGAAAGAATGGATGTCAAATGCCATGAAAAATAAAGTGGAAAGTTGTGTTTGGCACTGTGGCTTTTCTCATATTATTACTGTTCAATAGAAAGCATCAGAAAGTTAAAGCTTACAGAAAAGATGAATTCTGTTTTTTATTAAAAAAAAAAAAAAGAAAAGGTTGACAGTTGATTAAAGGTTGAAGAAAATTTTCTAAATTCCCACATTAGGAGCTCACAAGCTCTACAAATAATAAATGTTTTAGATTGAAGTTATAACTTATGAGGCAAGAAATATATGGTTGACCTAGATGAGATATAAATCCCTTGGCTTCTTCTGTTGGGAATACTAGAAAATCAACGTTCACAGGTGCATTACACTGTCAAGTGGGAAAATCCCAAATCAATTAAGGCGAGTCCTATTGGACTTAGTCACGGTATAGACTACTCCACCTAGGCTGGATATTTGCCTGCTATAAGAGCCTAGACCAAGTATTTTGTTAAGCCTATTTCTCATTAGCCCATATAACAGGTCCAAACATTCATCTGGGTCCACACATGAGGGAGCATGTTAAGTGGAAAAATCTGGTGTCCTGTGGACTTAAATCTAGTATGTGTTACTACAACTAGTACCAATTACTTTTTAAGTTGGATTTTTATAAACATAATGCTTTAACCATGCAACTCATCAAAATTTCATTTTAGGTATATAAATTTTGAAAATACAAGCATCAACATTGTACTTGAATTTAAAGAATGCAAAAGTTATGGCTCTAAAGCAATGATATTCCAATGCATCTCTACTATATATTACATATTTTTCAAGAAATTATTTACCTCAATCTTCATGAAAAGAGAATCAAAAGTAAAAATTTGAATGTCAATAACAAACCTTTCCAAAATCAGCAGAGGAAATAATTGACACAACTCGTTTGTTCTCCGTAAAAACATTACAATACTTGCTATTGACAGCAATAGGATTAACCTATGAAATGAGAAATGGGGGAATATCATGAGGTAAATTAAGCAACAAATAGGAAGCTACAAGACATGAGACTCATAAAATAATCAAAAAAGAAACATAACAAGGGAACCAACCAAATGATTCACTTACTGTGTATAAGCATCCAGGAATATGCACAAAACTCTCAATGGTTCCAGAAACAGGAAAATGGAACCTGTGATAATCCTATTAAAAGCCAAAGGAAACAGATTTGAAAGAATGAAAATCAAATAAAAATATTTGAGGGAACATGTAATTCTAGAAGAAATGAATGGATCTTCTGGACTTCTACTAAAATACCTGTGGGGCCAACCGAAATATCACCAAAGTTCCATCAACAAAAGCTGTTGAAGAGATTTCATTCCCCAAAAGGCCTTGAATTGAGAACTTTCGACCCTAATTGTTTTCAATAACAATCATGGGACATTTAGATTTCATTTACAAATTGTTTATTACAAGTATTTTGCTATTGGTGATAGGCTCCAAGACCAAAATACCAGACACTCAAAAAGAAACTTATAATAAACATAAAATAAGACTCAATAACCATAACAAGACTCATTCAAGGTGCAACCAAGCTTCTCATCATCAGACATATGCTTAAATTAAGGCTTGGGCAATGGCACTAGCTCTGGAACATCTTTTATAGATGTCGTCTTTAGCGTGCTCCTTGATTGTCATCATATCAAGCTCAAAGTTATGAATATATTCTGTTAGTGTAATCTTAATGGAAAGAATTGACTAATTGAATAAATATACGACGAAAAATGTGAGATTTATGGCAATATCTTGCAATATCTGACACTCACTTAAACAAACCCTTTTATCTGTAAGGCAAAAAATAGAGCAAGAAATAAAAAATTTCAAGCATTTTTAACTATTGGAAAAACTATTTCAATTTGCAACAAAAATATTCCTAGTGAAATTGATAGATCAGACCTTGATCCAAAATCTTTGACCATCTTGTGCGGATTTAAATGCCATCAAACGGCTGTCAGCAGCACATATGGCAACATCTTCATGTTCTATGGAGGCAATTGGTCTAGCATGGGGCTTCAGCTCTCTTATGAAAAACTCATTAAATGTCTGCAATAAGAAAGAGGTAGTTTCATGTTTACAAGCATCTAAATACATCAACAAACAGAAAAATCATGTGGCCCTAATAGAAACTAATGGCATCACTGATTCTACATTTGTGACTCTACATGACTAATGGCAAGTTGCAATTTATTTGCCAATTCTTGGTTACCAGCAGTTGTAGTTACTCTCAGATGAGAGATACTTTGCCTATGGAAAATGTACGCCTGGTAATTACATTCCTAGCTTTCTAATTAATAGTAACATGACTAGCATGTTAAAATTAATAACTTTGGAAGGTTAGGATTCCATGAGATTCAACAGCTTCTTTTTTTGGATTATTGAACTGCAACAATGATGGTATCAATATTCAATTAGACTCACGGTAACCAGCCATCTTATTTGTGTGTCAAAAGTACTTTTAAACCCTAGAAGGCTAAAACTCTTATTCACTCTCCCAGGTTAATCCTGCTACATTTTACCCTCTTTTTGGCTGTCTCATACTTTTATAGCTGACTCTTCTTGCACTCCACTAGTGTCAGAGTCAAGATCCTCCAACTCATTAAGCATTTTATTCATAAGCAAAGATGGGATGTGGTGAGGATGAAACTAAGCCAGCAAAGAGAATTGAGTACAATACAATGCATGATTGAAGATTTGAAATGCAAATTCTTTGTGCTTTACAGTGCATGGTCTCTAGGGAGGCTGCATGGACAATCTGGAAGGTAACACAAGACATGGCAAAAAGTGGTCTTAAAGATGAAATGTGTGATGGAGAAGACCAGAACCCCTTGCATGATGTTGGTGTTGAGCTCCTATGATGATTTTGATGATAACAAAACTATTGTACAATATTTAACAAGTTTTGTGCAAGAGTGTAGAAAATTGAAAAATGCAAAATGGCCAAAAGAGGAGAGTGGAATTTGGGAAAACTTAACAGAGTTCAACTTTGAGAAGCTAAAGTTGACTAATCAAGACATCATTCAAAGAAAGTCATCTTTCACACGGTTAAGTGAATGAAGTGCAAAAAGGAAGATTTCCAGGAAGGTTCCTGTGTTCATGACAATGCGCCTATAGAGTAAACTAAACGCAGCTAAAGTCAACTACTGTGGGCCTAAGGTCAACTTTCAGCGGCTTAAGTCAAAACCATTGCATAGTTGAACAGCCCAAGGGCATGAGAAGCATTTACCATAGTGCCACAAAGTCGAGTAGGGAGATCAAGTGGACTGAGGGTTTTAGAGTTGACCATAGTTGACCATTTGGAGGTCATGAAAAATTCAAACAAAAAAGTTTCAGAAACTACAAAAAAGTCATAAAGTCAACTTTAGGAGAGGCAAGTTGACTTCACATACCTAGCCCGCACTTTGCACAAAGGGCTATTCCAAATGGACTCCAACAATTATAAACAGCTAGTTTTCATCATGGAACTATATATTGAGCTGGAAGACAGTGACAAGCTCTTAGACACTTGCTACAACATCTAAAGCCCATATGTGAACTTAGATTTGCAAATTCCTTGAAAAGTTTGAGCTTTCACTTTCAAATTTGATCTTTGAGATTCATCAAAAAAAAAAAATTTTGATCTTTGAGAGATCATTGTATAATCTTTCTTTCTACTCTTTTAGTGCAATCTTGCGAGTGAATGAAACTCTAAGAGGGATTCTTGAGCATTGTATTTTGGTTTTAGGCCAGAAAGAAAACTCATGACATTCATCTTCTCCCACTAGTCTTAAATTTCTTTCACATCATATTTGTAATAGGAAGCAATGTATTGAATTTCTGGTACACCCGCTCGAAGCCTGTGATATATTGAGTCAGAATTATCATTCTAATAAGCTTGATAGAAATCCTAAGACGTACCATAGATATGGGAATAGATTCTGTATTCCAGCTATCTCCACAATTCTTTAACTATATCACAATGTATGGCACTATCCTCCACTTTGCTTCAAATCGAATTTTCAAGTTATGAAAAATTCTATTTTCTTGCCTCATCCACTTCTTTTCCTGTAATCTAAGTTGGTGATCCTCTGTCAAGTAATCTTTCCTTCTCAATCAAATATTTTGTTACAGTTTTGCTCCAAACCATTAAGCATAATTTTTACCACTCAGTTTTCTATCTGTAATCTTATTAGAGGAAGATAATTTCAGACACCATTGTTTAGTTTTAGAATTATCACCAGTCCCTATCAAAATTTCAGAAAACAAATACCTAACAGCTGCAACACAGTACATCAGCCACTGCAAACCATGAATTCAGCAACCGCTGCAGGTTGCATACTCTCAGCACCTGCAACCTCCCTTGAGTTGCAGGCAGAACACAAGTCACAACATAATTTCACTTTTTTAAAAGCATTCTAAAATTGATTGAAACTAGGCTGGGTTATGATTGGGATGCAAAAATTGGCTTTCCAGTGGTGGAAGGATGTGGTTAATTCCATATCAAGTCAATTCAATAGGAAAAGAGGGATTTTGTATACAGATACAAGAGGCAAAACAAAGGGTGTCAAATAAAGTTCCAATAAAGTTAATCAACAATATATTCAATTTCAGATCTTGCTTTCAATCTGAAGGATGAGATTTTTGTATTATTGTTGTTGTTCATTTTTTTAGTTTCTATGCATAGAACCCTGAAACTATGAAAGAAAGGAATTGACAAAGGAATTGAAAAGCAGTAACCCCAATTGACAAAGGAATTGTAAAATAGAATTCTCTTACTAATAACATCAAGTAAAAAAATTCAAACTTGCTGAAAAATATCACATTACCTTGAAATGCTCCAAAGGATACTTGACTTCAGCCAAATTTATTTGATCCTACATGTACAATAGTTTAGATAATTAAGTAGACAACAAAAGGTATACAATATCTGAAGAGAAAAACATGAGTAATTGGGCATAGCGGCTTTCTCAATAGAAGATAAATGTATGCGTAATCGGATAAAAAAAGATCAAAGTATATAACTAATGGAAAGCAACATGATTTCTACTTTGCTACAAACTCTGCGTTATAGTTCTGTAGAATATGTTGTTGACCAGCACATCGGAGAGCAAAAATGAAAAACAAAAGAAAACAGAAAACAGCAGGTATTTATTTTAAAAAGTTTCCATATCTTATTTTATTTGTAAACAGGAACAATAGATAAATGACAAGCATCTATTTTAATGGCAGATATTACTGCATGAATTATTAGGACTAGCATTTATGAATTTTAAAACTAAAGCAGAATGGGCTTAAATAAATAAATTCTTGAAAGAAATACAAGCCCAAAAAACACAAAAATCCATAGCAACATAACTAAGATGTTCTAAAGTAGAGCAACATCAAAAGTTCTAAAATAGTCATTGATATTGTACGAAGGACGTTAAAAGCAAAATTATAATGGTTTGTTTAACGAAGAAAAACATCTTGCCTTGAAGAATTCAACAAATTTTGGTATGTCTTTAGCAGATTCCACCGAATTCATTTGCTTTCCTTGTCTTTCAGAGATGTTTTCCAAGAGTTCCTTTGCCCCTGTATCCAAATGGCCCAACAAACAATTATAGATGGCAAACAGCATCCCAGACACAAAAGGTACATGTTTATGCCCTTCTAATTATGTAGAACTCTATATATGCATTTGCTGAATGTTATGTAGTTGTAGATTAATTTCTTGTTGGGTTTGGTTTTAAGGATATTCAAGTAAGTTGATAAAACGTACACATTTGAACACATCTAATTAATTATACATGTGATTGTGCCATTAAAGAATTGAAGCAATTCTTACTGAGAAAATTCATTTTCCGCAACTTAGGGCTTACTTTACAGGACGTACCCCAAAGGAAAATGAGATGTACTCTTTTGCCTAGGCATCCATATTCAATTGATTAACTATCAATTCACTTCATTATTTACGACCGAAATTATAGAACCAAACTTCAAAACCAAAGTTACTCAAAGAAATTCAATTCACATACAATATTATTTGAGTTTTTTGGTTCTGGACTTTAGGTCAATATGAGACAAGGAAATTAACAACAACCCTTCTTTTCCCCAAATCCTCCCCACCTGCTCTTTTACCCATTGTAACAACCCCAGGAAACTAACTAATTTTGTTGCATTGCATGGTTGATTCTTTTGCAGCACAGGTTGGTATTTGGTTCATCCACCCTCTGTTATTTGTGCAACAGCTACATTATTGGCTGGTTCTAAGGGCGAATTAATGTGAAAAGAAATGGAATCAAGAATTTCACCTTGATTTTGAATTAGCACTTAACAAACCTGAATATGCAATGATGACCTAATATATTTTTGGGTGATATTTGTGCACATGAACCACACCCAGGAACCACCGAAACTGAATAGTTCTATATTTTTGGCAAGGAAAATTGGGTTTTCCGAGTTGAACCTGAATTATACCCACCCCTAGTGTTATCTACAAGACAACAACTATGATACCATTAGGAAAAACCCAGGACTTTCGAATATATAGAGTGGAGGAATGATGTAGAAGGAAATTCAAATGTATGAAAAATAAACCTAAATTTGAACGAGTGAGTAAACTTAAGTCCATGAATAAGAGGATATTGCAGATATAAGAAAGAGTTTTTTTGTTAACTCTAATTCTAATATGAGAGATTCTCATGAAGTGAAAGACTAACAGCACACACTTTTGAACCTAACAATACTTTTTACTCCTAACTTTCTAACTGATTACAAGTGGTTAACTGAAAGGTTAAAGAATTCCTATATAAAGGAAAATAGGAAAGACGGGGTATCAAAGAGATGAAAAGGACAAGTGCAAAATGAAATAAAAAGAATAATGGACTAATTTAGGCCAATTGGTTAATAGTGAACAAGGTATGGAAAATATTGCCAAAATAAAAGGTGTGTGTTAACCGTCCAACCTAAAACCAATTAACAATAGGTGTAGAGGCTCAACTCTAATAAAAGACTATGGGAAACCTTGTAACTTAACCAATGTGGGACAACACAACTCCCCTTCACGTGTAAAACCAATTTGGCATCCCAAGCGTTTCTTAAGCGTGGCCATGCATTGTATACAATCATGAATAAAATACAACAAACCAATACCTTTATCCATTAGGCCAAGCCCTAATTTTGATTGATAAATGGCCCTCATTGATAGAACAATTTTTCCATCAATTAGCTCTTCTACTAACCTTTTCTTCTTCCGATCGAATACCTAATGCAACAAAGTACCAACTTAGAGAAAACAGACAAGAAACACATTCCAAAAGTGTTGAAACATTAAATTGAAATGTGTGAAAGTGCTAAACCGACACATGAATTAAACTCAGGTAATCTTCAACTATCTTTGTTGTTTAATTAGATTATGGAAAAACACGTGACAGAGCATAATAAAAGCAATATCTAAACTAGTAGAAAAGAGGAATGCAAACAGCTTTCAAATTGTATAACCTCTACATATCAGCATTGTTTTCTTCACAGAACAAGTGAAGAAAGAGCAACTACCAAAAGTTGCAAAACCATAGCAAATTTCCCAATCAATGCCATTTTCTATGTCAAAATTTAGTCTTAACAAGGATCAAAAGAAGTCCGGTTTTAAAATTAAGAACAATGTGCCACTTCTCAAACAATTTAATTTTAAAGTATCCGTCTGCAGACACAGTTTGTCCTTCCATCACTTCCACTACTTGCAATCATTTAATGATGTGTATGCATCATCTGTCGCCATTGAAGATCCAAACTCAAAATCTAATTGGCAGTTGCATCTTTTCTATTGCTTCTTAGGTTTAAATCAACAAAAATATTTACAAAGAAGAGCTTAGCCAAGTTAGTATCCACTAACATCAAAACCTAGACTCTAGGGTCAAAATCAGGGATTCATATCATTGCAATAGCTAAGCATTAACTTCCTTTAATCAAGAAATCTCTTGAACTAGGATTAGAGACAATCTTTGAGAAATTGACATTTTAGAGGAAAATTTTTTCTATAAATTAAAATAAATAGGAGTAAATAGGAAACAATACCTTAAATTGAACATTACACTAACATAACTTAATTATGAGTAAGGATCTGCTTACATGTGTGTAAGTCTTAGACTCTTAAATAAATGGTAAGTGGTTGATTTCTAAATACAACTATTTGATATATATTACTAAATATAGTACCATAATTTCAATAGTTGGATTTGGAAATCAAAGGCTAATAATTTATGTAAGACTTACGCTTGTAAGTCAATTCTAACCCTTAATTATTGAGGAAGAACTAAATATGCTTGGTGCAATGCGTATACGAAAATTTGTTGAACCTTACTTTTAACAATCATCATTTAATTGTAGCCTAAGAGTCTTAAGATTGAATCAATTTCAAAATTCAAAGTATCTTTCTCTTAGTAAATTTGACTCACTCCCTTTATTAGTTAAAATCCTGGGAGAGTCAATCTAGATATCTGTTGAAACAATACAAGTTTTCCTAGTTACCCTACAATTAAAATTATATATAGTCTACTTAGATTGTAATGGAGTAGCAATGATGAATGATACATATGTACTCAAGCAACGGAGAACCATGTATTTTTGTTTGACTATATTGATGTAACTTGTGTAGTTTACCTACTCCCACTTTGTACATTTTGTGGCCATTAGGCCTTAGCATACTATGAAGTCTGATGAGAGAAACAACAGATTTTGCACAATTTCTCTCATTTGCCCTCACTTTCTCACCTAGCTCATTCACCATTTTAGACCGTTTCATCATTCACTTTACTAATCTCCAACAAATTGGTATCACAGCCTCCATGCTTGAGGGAGAGTTTTGCTGTGTATGAAAGAAGACACAGCATGAGTTCTTCATCAACAGGTTCACTGTCATCACCACCTCTGTTCACAGGGAAGAACTATGATTTCTGGGCTATAAAGATGAAGGCATTTCTCAAAGGAAATGATGTTTGGAGTGTCATTGAGCATGGCTAAAACCGTCCACATCATCTAGATAGCCCAACTATGGCTTAACAGAAGAGATCTGATGATTATGTGGCTGGTACATACAAAGCTCTTTCATTTATTCATAGTGCTGTCCCTGATCCCATTTTTCCTAGAATTTTTAAGGCTGTAAAAGCCAAAGAAGCATGGGACATTTTGAAAAGTGAATATGAAGGTGACTCATGAGTACAGGTTAACAAGCTTGTAACCTGAAAAGAGAATTTGAGATGCTGAAGATGAACAAGCAGGAAACAGGGGAACAATATTCCACTAAAATTGATTTTGTGAACCAGATTAGGCTGCAAGGTGAAAATTTTCCTGACAGCAGGGTAGTTGAGAAGATGATGGTGAGTCTACACAGGAGATTTGAACCGAAAATCTCTGCAATAGAAGAAACTTGTGATTTGAACCAGCTGAAAATTACAGAACTTGTTAGCAAGCTCAAGGCTTATGAACAAAGAGCTATCATTAGATCAGAAGAGATCTCAGAGGGTGCTTTCCAAGCTAGACAAAGAGGGAAGCAACCAAAGTATAGAGAGCCAAGAAGACAAATCATTTGCTAACTCAGGTAGAGGAAGAGGAATGTGGAGAGCAAGAGGTGCTGAGACCAGAAAAGAACCAGTCACAGGAGCCAAAGTTCCTTCCTGTCAGCACTGCAAGAAAACTAACCATCCTGAACTGGTTTAAAAAAAAGCCAGTTTATCAAATCACTTCTTGCAAGAAATTGGCCATAAAGAGAGATTTTGTGGGCAAAAGCCACAAAACCAGCCACATGAGCAACAACAACAGTATCAAGCGAAGCCAGCAGCAACAAGCTCAAAAAGCTAATTTTGTTCATAACCAGCACAGAAATGAAGATTATTTGTTTATGGCAATGCAATCTACAACTTCCTTGGAAAAACAAACCCGGTTTATTTATATTGGTTGTAAAAGTCACATGTCAATTTGGACAAGTCAGTCAAGATCAGTGTAAACCAAGGAAATGGATCTGTTGTGAAGTCTGAAGGCAAAGGAACCATTGCAGTTCAGATGAAAAAAGGTCAAAACAAAGCACATAACTCATGTACTTTACATTCCTAGCTTAAGTTAGAATTTCCTCAGTGTTGCTCAGCTAATTACAAAGGGATATTCAGTGACATTTGCTAATAATTCATGCTCCATATATGATCCATTGCATGTTCGCATTGCTAAAGTCAGCAGGGTTGATAATTGCTTTCCCTTATATTGGAAATCTGTTATAGATTCTGTTCATGTTGCTAAAACTTATCAGACTTGGTTGTGGCATAGAAGATATGACCATTTTAATTTGAAATCATTGAAGCTTCAGCAGTCTAATGATTTGGCCAGGATATTTCAGAAATTCAGTTAGCTGATGAAGTTTGTGAAAGTAGTTAGTTTGGTAAATTGGGTAGGCAGTCTTTTAATGCAAACCAAAGTTGAAGAGCTTCCATGAAGCTAGAATTAGTTCATACTGATGTTTGTGGTGCCATGAGGACACCATCTCTTTCAGCCAGAACTTGTGTTTAATTTTGTTCATGGATGACTTTACAAGAAAGATGTTGGTTTACTTTATGAGCAGCAAATCTCAGGTTTTTTTGGTGTTTAAGAAATTCAAAGCAGAGTGTATATCAGATTTTGACTCTAAGATCTGACAATGGCAAGGAGTATACCTCCTCACAGTTCAATGAATTTTGTGAAGGTGCTGGTATTTCTCTTCAACTGACAATCAGTTACACACCACAACAAAGTGGTGTAGATGAAAGAAAGAATAGGACAGTTATGGAAATGGCTAGGTGCATGATGCAAGTGAAGAAATTTCCTAAAAATTCTGGGCCAAAGCAGTTTCTACGGCTTTGTTTATTTGTTGAATGGCCTACCTACAAAAGCTGTTAGTGGAAAAACACTGATTGAAGCATGCTTTGGACAGCTAGCTGACATCTTCACCAAGGCTGTTCCAAGAGTTAAATTTGAATTTCTCAGAGGAAGTTTGGGAGTAACCAAGAAAGCTTGCAAGGAGTGTTGAAACAGTACAAGTTTTCCTAGTTACTCAACAACTAAATTTATATTTTGTTTACTCAGTTTCTAATGAAATAGGAATGATGACTGTTATGTACGTTCTCAACCATGTATTTCGTTTGACCCTGCTGATGTAACTCCTGTAGTTTACCCAATCCCACTTTGTACATTTTGTGGCCATTAGGCCTTAACATATTACAAAGTCTAATGAGAGAAGCAACAGATTTTGCTTCCTCATTTTCCAGTTTACACTTCTCTCATTTTTTCCTCACTTTCTCTCATTTTCTCACCTAGATTATTTACCATTTTCGACTGTTTTCGTTATTTTCACTTCACTGATCTCCAACAATAGACATACCTCTAGAAGCACAAGACCTTTAGAAAATCATCAAATAAATATCAAACAATAGTAATGTTGTACTGTGGAACGTCATCAATTACCTCAATACTAAAATATAACTAAATACATGCAGGTGAAAAAGACAAAAGGAAAAAGACAACCAGGAAAAAAAGCATACCAGAATATGTGATGCACTTGACCCAGAGTTCAAACCAACATCATAAGATGAAAAATGGGCCCACTCACTCAGTTTGAAAATCCACCTAGCAAAAAATAATTTGAACATGAATGCTTCAGCCATGGAAAGAAATTTTAAAGTAATAAAATAAAAGCGATTTCTATGATAAAAAATTTTCACCCATATGAAGCCTCCTTCTCAGTCAAGAACCCTCCTCTCATGACCTGGTTACCAGTTCCTTCATCAAAACATAGAGTCAAGTGAATCATGGTATTCAGCTTATCAGAAACTTCAAGAATCTCGCCACAGACAGGACAGCAGTTCATAATGGGTTCTCTGTAAATGGGAAAACAAAGCAAAAAATGATTAAGAATCCATGACAAAGTCATTGAGATGATATAGATTGGATTTTCATATTAAAATGACTCAATGCAATTTCTAGACATGAAACAATTACATCCACCAATAATTATTTTGCACCAATATAGAAGCCAAAGGGAGAACCTTTTTGGTCTAGCTCAAGCTTCTATAGAAGTGCTACTTCAGCATAACTTTTAAGAACTGCTAACAATGTGAAACCACGAGTATAACTGTGGGTATTTTGGATTTTGGAAGTCAATCCTTAATTAAACTGAAAAGCCTACCCACAAAGGAAATAAAAGCCTGCAAATGTGGAGATTCAGTTTCTACTCTGTAAATTTCTACCCACACTTAGCATAATCCTTTTTGACTACTTCAGCTTCTAAAGTAGATAGAGAAGAGGTTTTAGAAGTTAATCCAAACAAACACCTAACTCAAATCAAGCAAACAAACAAGTTTCTGATTGAAGAACAATAAAAAAGGGAGTAATTTTAAAGCAACGCTTGAAAAAAACAATTGTTAATACTTGAGGTAAGATATGCTATGCAAAAGAATAAATGCCATTATAAACTATTTATATTTCTTTTAAGACAACTAAATCTAATTATTTGATAGAAAATTTATCAATCTCTTATTGTTAGAAAGGTTTGAATATTACTACTTATATACCTATTCAAGGCATCATGAAAAAGAAGTGCTAGACTTTCATTTCTAAATGCTTCAATTTCCTAGAAATGCCCATGGGGCAGTCCATTTGCTGACATGACATGTCATGTTCCATTTAACATTTGAAATTAATAGTATCTGAGCTCCCATCCCATGCTGAGAAGTGTAAAAAATCCAGAAAACCAAGCAGGAAAAAAAAAATAATAAAACCAAACTGTAAAGATATCTAACATGCATGCAACTAAGGTACAGCAGATATATGATATATAATGGTGGTCAAAAAATTGCAGAAAAGCATACAACAATTTCGAGACTTGGACTCAAAAGGACCTAACTCAATTAAACTAGTACTGAGGACACCACAAAAAACTAACCAAGTAAAATAGAATCTTAACATTCGAGAGTACAAATCTCAATCTAATTATGAATGAAATTAGAGTCTAATTCTCTGGGACATAATTTTGTAATCTAAAGTGTTGGAGTACCCACTGTACTCCCAATAAAGAAATTTCCTTTTGCCAAAAGAAAAAAAAAAAATTCTGTATCTGATTATGCAGTTTAAGAGACTATCTCTATTTATCACACAAAACTCAATCTAATTATTATTGAAATTTTTAGGGGAATTACTTTTCTTGTTGAAGAGCGAGAAGTAAAGCCAACTCATCCATGCTCACAACACCATCCCTATTTCTGTCAGCAGCTTCAAAAAGCTCTTTTTTCTGGAAAATCAGTGTAAACATTATGCCATGAAAAAAAATTTACAATTGTTATTAATTGGATTCAATCGCTAAAGAGGATGACAACAATTTGTGAACAATTTCAGAAAGAATCATATATATAGAAACATATTGTGTGTACAGGCAAGAATTGTAATATAATAGCATGAAAACATATTTCTTCTTCAACTAATTCTAAATAATTTTGAAAATAATTTTCTGGGAACCCCATTGCACTACCACATACAAAGATTGGATCTGAACAAAAAAAAAAAAAAAAAAAAAAAAAAAAAAAGAATCAAACCTTGCTCACTGCCGCACTATTTCCAAAAACATCAATTAAGTCAGAAAACTCAGAGTACGTTAGATTTCCATCTCCATCATAATCCTGGGTACATTTATGCAAAGAAAAATTCAGAGACAAGAACTATAGTGTTGCATCAAACGAGAGGGAGCAAGATATCTTTTCAACAGAATAAAAGGAAATGCCTACAAAGATATCAAATAAAGATTGTAAAAGAAAAAATTATTCTTATTTATTCAAAACTTGCAAGTATTTTCAGTTTTAATACAAAAATCTTACTGATGCAAAAACTTGTACATGTAATCCATGTGCTAAACTTGACTACCAGACAATAAAGTTTCTTTCCAATTATAAGCAGCCAAAACTAGCACTTGTTTGCCAAGTACCAGTTATTATTTTCACGATAATGAAATAATGCAGACTAATAGAATCTGTCTGTATGGTGTTCTGATGCATCAGGTTATGGAAATCTTAGGATCTTGGGTTCAAGTATATAGTGCAAAGTAAGGTAACTTTTCAGATCAGCTGGTATGCAATATGATTGGAGTTCATCAAACCCATGCAGTTCCTGGAACCCCACTTCAATCCCATCCTCATACCCCCCCTGAAATCCTCATTTCACAAAATCCACCCCTCACAAGTCATCCAGGTGGAACCCCCTCAAGTATCCACCTTTCATCCTATTCACCATACCAACTTCCCAATTTCCTTCTCCCAACACAAACACCAGAACCACCTTTCTCCCTCAAAGCCTCAAAACTTAATACATTGCCTTCTCAGCCCCATAAAACCCATTGAACTATCAGAAATGTTAAAAATAAATAAATAAATAACAAAGCTGGATAATTTCCTCTAGTTATATAACTCCATAGCAAAGACCAAGCCAATACAATAAAACCTAATGTCTTCCAACATTATAGGTGAGAAAATAAATAATGGAATTGAATCAGGAGCTTAATATAGAAATAAAATTATTTACAGCATACCACAATTGATAAGATTCGTCTTGCAAAACCTTTCTCAGTTTCCATTGGATCCTGTCAATATTTTGAACTAAATGTTTAAAAATAATTATCAATTTATCATAGTTTCAATCAACTTGTAGGCTCAATGGTTTGATGCACACCTCAATAGAACATGAAAGATGAATATGACCAACAACTTTGTCAGCAGATGAAGGATCTAACAGGTCAAATATCTCAAACCCAGAGTCTGAATCCTGAAACATAACATTACATGGCATATAAAAAATAAAAGTTATAGCCAACTCACTTGCATAATCTATGTTGATGGCCAAATTGCATAGACTTGTTAATGTAGTCCAATGTAATCCAAAGCCACATGACAAAAGTAGAATCAATAGATTGTCAAAACTAAAGCTCAAAGATATAAAAACAGAGTTTATTTTTTCCCAATTGCAACAGTAAATGAAGGGAAGAACTGAAACATAACAGTCAGATTATAAACTAGTCAAATTAATGGCGTGTAAAAATAAATTATTTAGTGAATTCTATTTTAGGCTTGCATCAATGCTATATCATTTGAGTACAAATTTCCATAGATAAATCCTAAAATCTCAATTTATTGAGATGATTAGTAAGTGCTTATAAAACAGGTTCAATTAAGAAATGGGCTCTAAGGGAAGGGGAAGCCCTTGCTCTTCAATTCAGTCTTTAGACTGTTAAAATATCCAATTTTATCCTTGTACTTATTGCCACATTGAAAAAGGTTCCGTAAATAGTTTCACTAAATCTCGTTAAGTTCCACAAAATCTTGAAAAGGCATCAGTTCATTGATTGACAAATAAAACTAATTAAAGTTAAACAAATAACAATTAATGTAAACAATGACAAAAAAATAATATATAAAATGTTTAACAATTAATTAAACAAAATGCAATTTAACCGATTAAAAATAACTAGACTGAATTAATAAATAAATAATACTTAAGTACAAGAGCCACCAATGCTCCCATCAGAAAAGGAGCACCAAATTGCCATTGGCAGTGCTCACACTCCACACAGAGCATCAATTCCCATGAACCCTGGTTCAAAGCAGTAATAATGGTGCTCTCATCTCTTTGTTATAGTAAGCCCTATGAACCAATTTGTTTGGAAAGACATTTTAGGTACTTGTGATTACATTAATAAAATATTTTTGGCATTATGAATTGAACACTAACTTAAATTGTTCTTTGTACATTAAATATTGGTAAAGTCCCTAATGGTTTGCTATTCCAAAGGGAAAAGAGGTAAGATTCTGTTAGTGAGGACCCTATGATTCAACAACACTATTCTTAAATGTCCTTAGTTGGAAACACTGAGATGTGACATCAATCTATGTACATATTAACACATGTTAAGACTCACTAGGCATAACTGTTAAACATAGTCTAATTGAGAGCTTACAAGTAATACAATGTTGCTAAATGTGTAAAAAGATTCACACACATCATCACTATGTAAAATACGAACAACGCAAAATACAAACAAGTACATTGAAATGAGTAAGAATCTAAAACAAAAAGATTAAAATATTGAAAATAATTCTAAACAATCTTTCATGATTTCATGATAGATAACCTAGGGCATTGAGAATAATCATCAATAAAAGTAATAAAATATATGAACACATTCAGCCCTATTATTGACCCATTGTGAAAAATGAAGAGTGAACATTTTACCAAGTTCATAGGACTCAATCTAAGAATTGTAGACTAAAACTAGGAACCATCTTCCACAATTTTGAGATGCTTGGATGCCCCAACTGATGGTGGATCAACTCAAGAGTAGGAGTAGCACAAACTACATGAGAAGATGGTCTAAGATAATAAAGTCCCTAGGACTCACACCTTGTGCTAAATGCCAATCATTTGTCCCATACACTGATCTTGTATAACAAAGGAATTGGCAACTAAGGTCATTGAGCAAAAGAAATTAAGGCTGTATGTATGTACACTAAACATTCAGGCATGTAAAATATAGAATTGAAAGGAAGTGAAAAAGGAGGTTTAGCTTCACCAATTTCTTGGGTTAAAATTTTAAAACTATCTACTAGGGTGATAGGAGAAAAAGGTGTAGAATAATCAATAGGAGTGAAAAGTGAGAAGTTACCAGCTATGTTACTAGAAGCATAAGAATCTATTACCCAATTGCAAGGATATGGCAACTATGAAACGCATGCAACAGGTTACTTGTTTATGCAGCTGGAGCAATAAGGATGGAGTTGTTTGGATGCTTTAAATTGGAGAATTCCTTGTAATAAAGACCATCAATCTGGATAACCACTCTCTGATGTTCAATCTTTATAATTCCAATTGAACCACAGTAGTCACTTTTTGTAGACACCCCTATAAAAAATAATGGTGCTCTTGGGTATGTACAATATCGAGTATGGGCAATACACTAACAATATTTGCATTGAGGTTTGGAACCACAACAGCCAATTTGGCTTCTAGAATCTCCCCCCCCCCTCCCCAACTCAACCTCATTCACCATACCAAAAGACTAAGGCTTAAGTGTCAGCCATAACAAAGGCCTTGGACGAAGTAGCAGGATTTGGAAAGCATAGCAAAAGAGAGGCTAAGTCATCAACAATAGGAACTTTAGCACTAGCACTAGGAACGTGATCATAACTTGGAAGTACACAAGCAAGTATAATAACCATAAAAATTTTTCTTGTTTTTCCTACCTCAGTGATCCAAAGTGGGCAGTTTCAGTTGTCAATGATGGTTTGGGCTTAGGTTAGGTATGTCAAAATGTATTAGGCTTCGTTTGGGAAAGCTGTGGTTGTAGCTGTGACTGTGATTTTTTGACTATTATCTAAAAAATATAAAATATATTTTAATTAATATTTTGAACATTTTTGAGATAGTAAAATGATAGAAAAGAACCTACAGCCACAACTTCATCCAGTGCTCCCAAACAATACCTTAGTCTTTTTGTCTCAAATTCATACGCTCAAATTCATAGCATGTTTGAAAAGGTAAGAAGTAGACCAACAACTTGGGATCTACAGGGTTCCTCATGACAGAGCACAATTGCGCATCAATCTTCTCCCAATTGTTGTGATCTGTTTCAGAGATGTTCCCAACCTTTTTGGTAAGATCTAAGATGATCATTAGAGCCTTGGCCTATGAACCAAAGCTCAACAAATGCTGACCAATAAGATAATTTGAGCCATTCAATTTTTCAGAAGTGACGGTAGGTGTAGCTTGGATTTTACATGTTGCAAATGTGTGGGACTGAACCAGAAGACGACCAAATATCTCGACTTCACCAAGCTAAACCAGACCAATCGTCAAAATAATAAAGTCAACAACATGCAAATTTTATCTAAAATAAACAATATGGACTGGAGATGTGAATCTGGTGCTGCAATGGCAGGTCAGATCTGATCCAGGTGGTGGCGAGACATTGTGCAACAAGCAATGTCGTCGTTCAAACTAGATGATGAATAGAGACAGCAAAGATGACAAGGGATGTCAGATCGGCAAGAAGATAACTAGAACAACACAGACCAGGAAAGGAATCAACAAAGAAATAGCCCTTTGTTGCTGATAAACAGAGTGCGATACTGGACAACGTTGGAATGATTGCTGAACAGCATCATAGAAGAAAAACAAGATCGGAGAATGCATAGCTCCAATACCAACATAAATTTGTGAAAAATTTTGTACGATTTGTAAGTATTTATGCAAGAATTTTTAGCTCTACTTGTAAAAAGAAGAAATTCTACTGAATTACTACCATGCAGTCAATCCCTATGATTATGAATATGTTGAATCCCTATACATCTACTCTGCTTGGTTATATAATCTGCCATGTTAATTTTCAATATTCAACAAGGCTTAAAAGGAGCTGCTCAAAAAATAAAAGTAAAAATAAAAGCTTGAATGGTGAATCCAAGTCCCAAAAGTTAAAGGTAATAAGCTACTTTGTATCTTCGAATTTTCTGCTCCTTCAACATTTTGAACTTTGAAGTCAAGTTTACTACAGTAGAATAAAGAATGCCATAGAAGCAAATCGAAGTCAAATCCTACCTCTTTGGATTCATCTCCATTTTTCCAAGAGGTTAGGCAATTTTGCATAATCAAGTAGAGTCAACTCCCTTAGACTTGACTCCAAGAATAATTCAGGGTTATTATAGTTACTTTCCTTCTTAGAAATTTATTTTAATCAAGTTATTTTCCTATTTATAATAGGCTTTTATAAGACTATGTAAACCTATGTAAGGATAGCCACCTCTCAAGTTGTTCCAATCAATAAAATACAAGAATTATTCAAAGAATTCTCTTTAGTTTGCTAGTGAATTTCCAAGTGTATTCCATACTTATTTTGAATGCAAAGGTGATTAAGGTTTATTATCCTTGTTTCACACTAAATCACTAGGAAACTTTCTTCTTCTTCTTTTTTTAATTAACCTTTTCTCATCACTTTCTACCTTTATCATTCAAATAACACAATCACACAAAGAAACTTTTTAAACAATTATTGTTTAATGTTGTGGTAAAAGATGACTGCAAGGTAATTATGCAATAAAATGATTCTAACAAAACCATACAAAAGTTGCTCAGTGAGAAGGGCGCTCACCTGTGCTAGAAAGTCAAGTAGATCTATCTCACAATAACCAATGAGATTATTCTTCAACAATCTATTGGTCTGCATAAAATAGTAACTTTAAATTAAAAAAAAATATATATATATATATATTAAGGGGAAAAGAAGAAGAGTTTGTCAAATAAAAAGTCTTTCATGATAAGCACCCATGCTAAGAGTTTACCATTAACTTTTCAAACAATAATATCTCAATCATGAATACATTACAGCAATACTAAAAATCAAGGTTGCCTATGAACACCGTAGTGGAATCAAGCTCCAGTTGCCTAGTTTTAGATTTAAAGATTGAATTGAGACTGATTAAGAGATGATGCCAAAACAGCTTTAAAAAGTACAAAGTTTCAGGGGCCTTGCTAATTGTTATTACTTTAGAAAACCCAAGGGAAACCATTTTTAACTTGATGAAAGCAGCACCCTTAGCAAGGAGTCCTAAAAGTAACTGAAAAAAACAAAAAACAAAAAACAAAAAAAGGAGGGCAAGAAAAACATTGCACAAAAGGCCAAAATGTGTTTATCTTTTGCTTAATCCAAATCAATGAATAATGATGAACACAATTATAAAATAAAATTGACTTATGGCATACCTCAAACACTGAGATCCTAGCAACACGAGGTCCATTTTTTTCCAAAAGAAGTTTTGTTTCCTGCCAATATAAGTGGACTTGATTCCTTAGATGCCAAAAGGAATATAAGAAGAATAAGAGACAAAAATGCATCTAAGAACGCTGATTAGCACCAACTCATGTTTTAACCAAACAAGTCATCAGATCATCCCCTTACTTTATGCCATACAATGGTACAAAAACACAAATAAAATAAATATTCAACCCCTGTAATTCAGTTCCTTTGCTGCAGTAATTTCCACTAAGCATTTCTTATTTTATTAATTATTTAACAATGTTTAGTTTTCTTTCTTTACCCTCTTCCTTTGGGAGGTATGAAAGATATGGAGGGAGTTCTCAATTTTGAAAATGATAAACATGAAATTCTTTCCTGGTAACAAAATTTTAATTTCTTTGCTGCTTTCCATACAAAATGTAAGAGAAAGGTTGAGTTCTAAATTATTTTATGTTAAAGTATTTTCCATAGTTTCTTTGAGATATTTCAGATCTCTGACAAGAATACCTCCTCAAAAGCAAACGCACAGAATAAAATAAAATTAAAAAAAAAAAAAAAAAGAGTCTATGACAAGAATGACATATTTAAAGTGTTAAAAGATCTATCTCCAATTTCTCGCTAGTAGTTAGAATAAGCATACGAAAATTTGTGAATTTTGAGATGACAGATATCAATGCCCCTAAATTCTTTAAAGGTTGGTTCTTAAACAATAGATAATTAAAACAAAATGTGAATACAATAAGCAGAAAGATTCAAATAGTAATGTGAAATAATATAGTTGATGATGGTACTCACACACTTCCAGATGGGTTTTTCTGTTCTGCATATAATCAAATAAACCAAAGTTAATTGGTGAAAGATGAAAGAATATCAATAGGAACTCATTTTCTAAGAAGACTGGCAGAAAAGAGAAAAGTCGTATGTTTTTGGTGTCATTTATGTCTATCACTGAGCAAAAGACATGGAGAAATATCTGTAGTCATAGCACATTGAACAACTGAATTGAAGAAACATTCTACGTTCTAAACACTCAACGTTATACCGACATCATGCCAAGAAGCAATAACAAAACAGCCATTTGGAAAGAGTAAGAAAAATCAAGCACTAGAATCATTGTCTTGTATTTATTAAAAAGGAAAGAAAAATCCCTATATGCTTAACTGATCGGTGATGTTGGTGCGAAACGTCTGCTCTCCGAATGAAACGCATGCCAACCATTTGTCCTTAAACTTCATCTCAGCCTAGAAATAAAATAGAGATGTAGCTCAGTTTTGGTTAAGAGGGAAACGCAAGAAAACTAAACATACGTACTGAAAATGGAAAGCCAAAAGGATAGAAAGAGTAATACGCCGATAAGAGTAAGGAAAGCAATGCCGGTGAAATCCTCGGCGGCATGGAGTTTGCGAGATAAGGAGGTACTGCCGTGTTTGTGATGTTGGTGACCGCTATGGAGATGCAGTTTCTGCTTCAATCGAGAGATGCGCGAGGATTTGGACTCAGAAGAAGAGGAATCGTCATTCTCATCCTTTGAAATTCCATGGCCCATTCTCCTTTCACTCTGTTTGACTTTCCCTTACTCTGTTTTACCGATGGAGGGGAAACTAGTTCATTCAGTTGAATATGTATCATCCACAGAAAAAGTGGGCAGGGAATATCTGGTATCGTTCTCTCGCAATCCTACAGTGTTAATATAAAACATCGTCGTTTCGTTCAGAAATAGTAGAACATTTGGTTGGAGAGGCTGCACGCTGCAGGGCCCTTGTCATACAAACGCAAATTAGTATCCCGTGTCAATCACTCGCCAAATTAATAGAAATTGGAAAACACTCCCTCTGATTTTGTTTAATTGTCTCACTTCTTTTTTCTTTTTTATTCAAGGGTTTTTCTTAATTTATAGCATAGATAAAGGGTATTTTTTATCATAAATATATATAAATAAAAATTAATATTAATTTTAATATTATTGTCAAATAGATAAATTTAATTAAATAATTAATAAATTAAATTTTAACTTTTATTTTTTCAATACAAATTTACGATAAAAATATATATTTATTACATTTTTAACATGTATACTAAAAGTACACATTAAAAAAAACCCTTTATTCAAAGTAATATAGTTACAAACATACAATAATATCATATAGGATTAATTATAAACTTAAAATAATAAATATATCATTAAATTAGTAGATAAATATAATATTGTCAATTAAAATTTTTGCTTTTTATTTAAAGTTTTCTAACTTGTGCTTGGAATTAATGCACCTTTTCGACATCAAATAGATACTTAAAAGAATAAAAATTATGTTCATTAAATAAATTATTTAATTAAAATAATCCACATAGTATCCATTTGTCATACTAACCAAGTAACTGTTAGTTATTTTGTCCAGATTGTTATAGATAGGTATTTAGTAAATTTATTTATTTTGAAATCATAATAAATTAGATGTTTGATAAAAAATTTTATTTAAAGATTTGAGATTAACAAATAACGAATTAAAGTGCAAACCACTAAAGGACAAATTTATTCACTTTAATTTTTTTTACTTTTTGCCATAATCTTTAATTTTACTTATCTAATTAGTTTTAATTTCATTTTCTTCTCTTTTAACCTTAAGTGACTATTATTATTTTTTTATTTTTTAATTAATTTATGGTGTGATTCACATTTTTATATTTTATTTATTATTTTTTTATAAAAATAAAAATGTTAATAATCAAAATATTAAAAAATATATTTAAACATACCCTTATTAATTATTTAATATCAAATAACAATTATTAGCTATTATATAACTAAATAATTATATCAATCAAAATCTATTATTTACAATCGATTACTTGCTTTTCACCATCCACCATTTACCAACTACTATTTGAGAACTACTACATGCTACCCACTACTCGCTGTCTTTTAGATTTCAATTGCTACACCAAATAGGCCTATAATATTAATAGTGATATAAAGATCAACTTTAATATTTTTTATACAATTTAATGTAAAAATGTATAATAATTACACCCTTAAATGTGTGTCCTAAGTTAAAAAAACCATTTTATTTAGATAGACATTGTATGTTGTTATTCCAACTTTACACCTATCATTCTAACATATTAATAAAGAGGAGATAACTTTTATTAAAAATAAATATAGTATTTCAATCCCTCATTATTGTATTTCTACTCTTTTCCTAAAATGTCTATACTTGTGCAACTCAAAGTAAGACAACCAATAGCAAGGCCTATGCCACATAAAGCCTATCATAGTCAATTACAGTTAGAATAAGGCCTATCAAGCCTAATTACAATTAGAATAAGGCTCATCAAGCCTAATTACAATCAGAATAATTGACCATTAACTCATAAATATAAGATTCACCTCAAGTGATGTAAAGTTACACTACTACTAACCATGATGGTCAATATGAGCCCACATTTGCTAGAGATAACCACCTTGATACCTACTGAAACAATCCAAGCCTAAACCTTCCATTTAATTAACAACTCTTCGAATCAAGATCTATAGGTCTTTAAAAACTTAAACTCGAATTGTTAATGATGGTTAGTTTCAATACTTATATATTATTAATACTCAGATTTCCATCCTAAACTCAAGACTAAACAATCTATTACTTGCTTTTGATCTACATAGCTTGAAACATTCAAGATGACTACATAATTCAATTTCCACCTTTCAATGTCTTATGCTATAGTCAACTTTGACAGCTTGTTAGTTTGCTTATTATCAACACGATGAATCTTGTTTAATTGAAAGTTGTTAAAATTGGCTTTCAAATGAGTTATGACCTTATTATATTGAGTCAACTAGGGCTCTTAACAATCGTATATCATTTTCACTTGTCCCATAGAAGCTAAGAGTCATGTAATTTTCACCTTTAATGTTAATTTCAGCCCAAAAATCAATGCCTCATACTCTGTAACATTGTTGGTGGTTAGCAATTGAATCTAAGGGCATGTTCAATCTTGTATTCATCTAAATCTATCAAGACTACCCTAGCACCTAACCTTGATTCATTGGCAAATCTATCTACAAACAATAACCACACAAACTAAATATTTTGACTTTCGACCTCCTTTAGGGCTAGCATGCATTCTAACAAGAAATCTACAAGGGTTTGACCTTTAATTATAGTTCTTAGTCCAAACTTTAAGTTATAGTTACTAAGCTCAATTGCTCATTCAACTAGCCAACCTAAAACTTTTGAATTCTATAAGATCTTCCTTAAAGATAAGTTAATATAGATTATAATTTGGTGTGATTGAAAATCTAGCCTAAGTTTAAAAGCAGCAAATAATATTATATAAGTAGTTTTTTTAATAATAAGGTATCTTCTTTCCACCTTAAGAGTACCTTATTGACGTAATATATAAGGTTCTAATGTTTTCCATCTTTTCTCAACAATAGAGAGTTAATGGCATTTGCTATGAGCCCTAAGTACATATACAATTTTTCACCTTCTTGTGTTTTGGAAAGCAAATGAAGTGAAGTGGTGAACATAGATACTTTTTTAATTCTTCAATAACGCCCTTTGACACTCTTTTAACCATTCAAATTATTGATGTATTTTTCATATGTTAAGCATGAAAAGTCATTAGTAACATATCTATTATACATCTAAACAATTAGCTAATTTTATAAAACATCACACAATGAAAAAAAAAAAGAAGGAAAAACGCATAATTGAATTTCATTGGAAACAATATAAAGATGGATATGCACTTGTAATACACAATTTGATTTTAAATTTGGATAAGAATATTGAGGATTGTGAAATAAAAAGGAGAAAAATTTTAAGATCAAAACTTCTCAATAAAGAAAAATTAACTTTGAACAAGCTAAAAAAATGGATGAATATCTGTGATATGAATGAGTTTTTTTTTTTTTTTTAATTTAATGTTGTATAATGAGAGGCAAACTTGTCTTATTCTCTAATCTACCCTATTTGTATGTAATATAACTTGAACTTAACATTTATTATTTTTATAGAAATGAGACTACTAATTAATTATTTAGGTTGATGGTAAATATAAATATTTTTATAATAACATTTATTATACAAAAAATTTATATCACAAATTAATTGTGAGATTCATATTATGTTAGAGCCAATATTGAAAATATTTTATATATTTATAATTACACTTGCTATATTTTGTATATAATATTTTATATATTTATAGAATATTAATTTTTATTTTTTGGTACATTAAATATCAATAAATTCTTTAGAACAATTGGTAACATCAAAAAGATAATATTAGTTATTGATATTAGTAACAACCATAAAATGCAATAACATCGTTTTTAAATCATCCATTAGTCATATACATCATTAAGATATGACATTGATTAATGTAAAGACCAACACGAGATGAGATTTTGTTAGGTGCTAAACTTCTCAAAAAGTCATTTGTTATACCATAAACAAGAGAACATAATTGATATTGTACATTTGTAAGTGGACCTCATAGATGCATAAGATTTAAAATGTTTTATTACGCTATGAAATTTCAACTAAATTCAATATTCATGAAATTATTTCAAATATTAATGCAATTCAAGTCATAATATTTAAGTCAAAATAATCAAATATCCTCAAATTTTTGAAGTTTTTATAATACCAAATCTAAACCATTCCTAAACATCCATCCAAATCAACTAGCCATAAAAAGTCACACGATTTGATCACCATCAACCCTAATCTCGTTGTCTAAAATGGTGGACAAAGGAAAACATCAAATAATCTCATATGTAATTTATGGTATCCTTTTTTATTCTATTTACAACAAAGTGTGCCAACTATAATTTAAAAAAAAATCAAAAGAATAAAGTAGAATGTCATGCAAAAAATAAGTGATCTATTGCCCAATCATGGCCAATGTTTAATACCTCTCATTAATATGCATGAAAATTGCTAGTGTCTATAACTCCAATCACAAGATAAAAAGTAACAAAAATGAACTAGTTCATAGATAACATGCTGACATGACTAACATTTAGAAACCGCGCACTGGTAAGCATAAAATCAAGATCACAATAGAAATAAATCATGTAAGATTTAAAAAAAAAAAAAAAAGACATTTCTTCTAAATCAAATTCTTATCTCAAGTTATGTACCATGGCATCATTAACAATTCATGTATAATTAGGTAAGCTTATTTTTTAGAAAATATTAAACTAGATACTTGAAATCATTATCATGTCATACTAATCATTTAAAATCATACTTTCTTAAGGATTAGTTTAAAACTAAGGGCAAAACCAAAAATTTACTTATCTCATGCCATAGAAGATTAATAATGCAAAAACCAAGAATTAGGATGATATAGATGTTTAAGAATTTAAACTAAAATAAGAATTAATTCTTCCATTATAATCATGTAAACCAATTCTACAAAATTTTATAACATATAACCTTTAAGATTATTTAAATCACTAGTTATTAGCCCATGGTAAAATCATGTCATTAGTTAGTCAAAATATGCTCCCTTTAATTTAAGAAAAAGAAATAATTTAAATCACTAGTTATTAGCCTATAGTAAAATCATGTTATTAGTTAGTCAAAATATGCTCCCTTTAATTTAAGAAAAAAATAATTATTTTTCATAAAACTCAAGCAAAGAATCAAGTCTAGGACAAAAAAAATTGAATACCAACTCAACAAGAATTTAAAAGTTCTAGTCAAATCATGAATTGAAACTTGCAACGAAAGTTATCAATACCATATTAGTATACGTACCAA